CTAATACCGCAGTTCAAAATATATGAACTTCATATATTCATTGTATCTGATTTATCATCACGGGTTTATTACGAATCAACTTAACGGCCTGCTCCCAGTTGGCTTGTTAGCTCAATTGGTAGAGCGCTGCACTAGTATCGCAGAGGTCAGTGGTTCGAATCCCGTACAGGCCTGATTTTTTTCAGGTCTGATTTTCGCTATTGCATAAATAGCGCTCTCTACTGCGAGGATCGTGCATCATAGGTACCTAATACCGCAGTTCAAAATATATGAACTTCATATATTCATTGTATCTGATTTATCATCACGGGTTTATTACGAATCAACTTAACGGCCTGCTCCCAGTTGGCTTGTTAGCTCAATTGGTAGAGCGCTGCACTAGTATCGCAGAGGTCAGTGGTTCGAATCCCGTACAGGCCTGATTTTTTTCAGGTCTGATTTTCGCTATTGCATAAATAGCGCTCTCTACTGCGAGGATCGTGCATCATACGTACCTAATACCGCAGTTCAAAATATATGAACTTCATAAATTCATTGTACCTATTTTTGAACTGTGGCTTTGTAAATAGCGCCTTTAGACCCATGGGAAAGGGCGCTCTATAAATGTCTTATTATTACCATTATTATGGAAAAAGCTACGAATAGATTCGTTTTTATCCATATTCAGCTGATAAGTAAGCTCATTACTTGGTGATAAACTGCTAGAACAACTATTTTTTTTTTCAAATTTTGTCATTTAACAAAATACCAGGCGAGTTGTAAGAATAGTTTTATCAGTCCTTTTTGTTTTTTAAGAAACCCGCGACCTTTCAAACCCCCTTTCTTGATGGCGCGACCCCCGACACGTGATGATCAGTCAAACGTAAGCGCGCTTCCTGCTTTTTTCTTTTTTATATCAAGTGATCAGATCAAAGAACGAAAAAGCTAGATCAAAAACTACTTGGATAACAATTCACTTTTACAGCGTGACAGTCATACACAGAGTCCGTTTCCAAACAATGTTTGGCCAAGGTCATATTACAAGTTTCAACAAATATGATCAATTGATTTCTCCAGTTTTACCAATATACCACTTATTTCTTAATTTAGTCGATATTGTGAATTCTAACACATTTTTTAGCTCGGTACTGAAAGTAATCGACCCAACCTGTTTTTTTCAAGTTCATATATAACTTCCTGTTCGTAGTGACTTATAACTAATCCAGATTATCTAATCATTAGTTAACTTGTGTTACTAAAAGTGATGTTTCCCTAATTTGGATAAAGTATCAGGAAAGGATGGCAATGGAAAGCCCAACTGTAGAAGCCATGATAACTTCCGTGAACATAGCCTTACCTGTTGCTGTGTTCCTGCTAAATTCAGATCGAGTTCAGAAACCCATTGAGATGTGCAGTGAATGCTTGATTTTGTTAAATAACACCAACCAAAACAGTAAAGAGCAATTTATTTCACTACATTACAGCGCCATCTATAAAGTTCTGTTCTGCGCTTATCGTCGTATCTCCGACAACATAAATGCGGAAATGAACGGCAGGAAACTTCTTGTCCTATGCAACCAGTCTGCTGACTTAGTAGAAGAAGGAGATATAAGCAAGGGTGTAGCAGAGATAGTTGAGAGTCAAACCAGGTTTATAGAAGCCAAAGAACTTTATGAAAAAAACAGCAAATATAAAAAGACAAACTGGTGAAAAAATTGGAGAAGCAAGCGCCTGTGCAAGATTCGGATATTTCTTCTTAATACTTAGCGAAAACTTCAAAGCGAAAGAGTATATTGAGAGAGCCCTTGCCATAAGAACCAAAATTGGCGACAAAAGAGGACAGGGATCCTGTTACGGAAAGCTAGGAGCGTTGCTTCAGTCGCTTAGTGAATACGATAAAGCTAAAATGTATCTCGAAAAAGCGCTTCTAATCAGAAGTGAATTTGGGGACAGAGAAGGGGAGGCAGCCGACTACGGAAACCTAGGAACTTTATCTATGTCGCTCGGGCAATACGATAAGGCCATAGAATATCGAAAAAAAGCGCTTGTCATCAATACGGAAATTGGTGACAGAAAAGGAGAAGCAGCTGGCTATGGTAACCTAGGTTCTGTGTATCAGTCGCTCGGGAAATACGACAGGGCTAAAGAGTATCTCGAAAGAGCGCTTGTCATCAGAACGGAAATTGGTGACAGAAGAGGAATAGCAGCTGACTACGGAAACCTAGGTACTGTTGTTCACGTCGGTCGGGAAGTACGACAAGGCTAAAGAGTATCTCGAAAAAGCACTTCTCATCGGAACAGAAATTGGCAATAGAGAATTAGAGGCAGCCGTATACGAAAAGCTAGGTAACGTGTTTTAGTCGCTCGGACAATTCGACTCGGCAAAAGAGTATCACGAAAAAGCGCTTGTCATAAGAACTGAAATTGGCAACAGAAAAGGAAAGGCAGCCGACTACGGAAACCTTGGTGCTGTGTTTCAGTCGCTCGGGCAGTATGACAAGGCTAAAGAGTATCTCGAGAAAGCGCTTGTCATCAGAACGGAAATTGGCGACAGAAAGGGAGAGGCAACTGACTACAGAAACCTAGGTATGGTGTTTATGTCGGTCGGGAAATACTGCAAAGCCAAAGAGTATCTCGAAAAAGTGCTTCTCATCAGAATTGAAATTGGCGACCGAGAA